TACTATATCATTATCAATATCGGAAACTTCTTGGTCATCTTTCGAACGAACATCATCGATATTATTTATTTTGTCTACTAAATTGATATTCCTTGAATGTCTTGATATTTATGGACGGCATTAACGTTTTACGTACGTTTCATTAAAATCTATTCACCTTTAGTATAAAAAATATTTACCGAAACTTTTCAAAGAAATTGCAAAGATGCACAATGTACTGCAATTATATTGCATATTTGTTTACACATTTCAATACTTTCTTGAAATCTGATGAATGATATTGCACAGCTGATATAATTGATTCTCATTATAGACAAATATAGAATCTATTCAGATGATTCAGCGTTTTCTCCCTTTTTATTTTTATCTTACAAACGTCGATGAGAAATATAGGTAAGAAAATAAGTATTAGGAAAAGAACATCAGTATTATTATCTAATTCTTATAAATTCTATGAGTAAATGATTAATACTTCAATTGTTTATATATATGATACTCAACTTTAAGTATTTAAGATATAATAAGATTAAAATATTAGAAACAAGTTCCTACAAAGATAGGAGATAATATTTATAAAAATAAGACGTCACGTAATCATTTAATCAAAGAATTTCTAAGAATTAGTAAATGATAAAGTTGTTGATACCAAACGCGATAACTAAGTAGCAATTGATAATCTTCTTATTTTTTTCGACAGAATGAAACATTCTGTGCTCCTAAAATAATATTCTTTATTTTTTGTAAAACCTTTTCTCTTGTATCTTTTTTTTTGTGAATACGATTAGAATTTTCTGTTGCGATAAATACTTTAGGTGTTCCAATAAATGACGGAATGCAAATGCATAGCGGTCATTGTACGACAGTATGATCTTGCGATTGAACAGTAGTCATCAAAATTTTACAGTTTATAATAAAAATTATTACGTGGTATAAGTGATAGTTTCGACAAAGTCAACATAGCTAACAATATTTGGTGTGGTATGACTTACAAGTATTTTATTTTTTTTCTGGTCTCAATGTTTTTGCCCTGTTTGATTTATAATTTTATATTTTAGTTTTTACTTTATCATTTGTATATTT